TATAGCGACTTAGGCATTGTAGAGAATCAACTTGATGTGACTAATATCATTTTGATTGTAGCTGCCATTTTGCCCAGCAGGTGATCTGGCATGCAATTCCTGTCTACACACACACACACACACACACACACACACACACACACACACACACTTAAACAATAAAAATACATCTTAAAAAAAGAGATAGCGAGCAATTGAGGTAGACATCTGACATTGTCCTCTGGCCACCACATACATGTGAATACGCATGTACACAGATACTTGCATGCACAGGTACACACACCCACACCAACATGACCTTCCCTGCCACATACACATGAGACTAGGACAAAGACACAAACAGGAGGAGAAGAGAGCCATCAGGGAGATGCCTCAGGAGAAAGCAGCCTTGCAGAAACTTTGACCTCAGACTTCCAGCCTCCGGATTTGTGGGAAAGCACATCTTTGCTGATAAGCATGCGAGCCCAAACAGAAGAGGACCTCTCCTACGTAAACTAATTCCTGCCTTTCCTGAGTGTAGGAGTCTTGGTCTGGTCCCAGAGTCTGCTGCGCTGTCACACAGAGGCGACACTTGGAGAAAGCCCAAACCTGCCGGAAACCACACAGGCCCAAGAAAAGAAAAACACTGACAAAACACAGGACCCCGGAGACAGAAAGCACCCGAGAAATCACCAAGAAATGGATGCCTGCAGAGAAAATGAGAAAGGAGTCATGCTCTTTTCCTTGGGTTTTTCTCAGAGTTCCCTCTAGCTCTTTACCCATATCTCCTGAGCTCTAAGGCTGCATCTCAGCCCCTCATGGTTGTTCCAAACTAATGCTTAGGCTGTGCAGATTTATCTGGAGATAATCCAAAGTTTTTGCAATATTGAGTCTTCTAATGCAGGCTCATGACATCGCGCCTCACATTGTGATCCTTTAGAATCTTTCAACAGGATTCCCCTCATCCCTAATGTATTGGGCATTGATCTAAGGCCTCAAACATCCCAGGCAAGTAAGGAGGCACAGAGGTCCTTGTGCTCACAGATAAGCGCTTTGGGAACATAGAATGTTAAACACACAGGTTGTTCCTTCAAGGGAAGGAATGCCTAACCTGTTTTCTGCCCAGTAGGCTGGGGACAGACATGGTTAATAGCCTGGTGACGTTTGCACTGTGTGGAGGGAGACCACACCAGACTCTCCCTCAGACACTTACCATAAGCTTGTTTTTTCTCAGTCAGTCTATAGAAGCCATCTTTCTGGAAGGTGTCCACGTGTACTTTACAAAGAGCTTTGATGTAGTCATGTCTGATCTTTATTGAGCTTACTTTGTTCCTCCAGGAGATTTATGCTTGCTTTATTGTGCACAGTGTATTGAGCTGATTATCACCAGGAAAGTTTTCATCAAATTGTGCTGTGCTCAAATATGCCTAAAATAAACTACTCAGGGTCAGACTCCAGAAGTTTGAACCAGCACTGGCCACTGAGTTGTGTGGAACTGAACTAACTGCCTTCTGGCCTCCTGCAGATCATCTCCCTGCTGGCTGGGGAGGATGCAGAGACCCCTGCTGGCAAGCACTCTGTGACTGAGCTACCCAGCTCTTTAAAAATGTCCTTTTTGTTTTGTTTTTCTTTTTTGAGGTAGATCCTCACTAAATTGTGCAGACTGGCCTTGAAATCACTCTGTAGCTTAGGTGGTCTTTAACCTTCGCCTGCTTCCCGGGTAGCCGACAAACCTGTTCCCCCAGGCCAGGCTTAACACAAGGTGTTTCTAAGACAACTACCCCCAAGGATTCCTGTGTCTTGGTCCTTGTCCTCAGAGTGGATGGAGGGAATGGTAGAGCAGGCCATGTGTCCCCGACCCTGAGGCCCTGACATCTGCCTTTCCTTGTTGTCCTTGACAACTAAGACTTCTGGTGGCATTTGGTTCTTTAGCTTCTTTCAACAGGGCCCTCCCTTTCCCCGTCCCTACTCCCCACCCCTGTGTGTGTGTGTGTGTGTGTGTGTGTGTGCATGTGTGCATGTGTGTGTGTGTGCATGTGTGTGTGTGCATGTGTGTGTGTGTGTGTGTGTATGTGTGTGTGTGTGTTCTGTATTAGGTAATATAGAGGTGACACTTATCAAAGCCCCCCTCCCCCCCCCTCACCATCAAACAAAAGCAGGATTCCTTTCAACGAGAGTCTCAGGTACTTGAAGTCAGGGTGGGTATTTGTCACTGTTGTCAGGGTCCCACAGGCTTAACTCTTCCCTCAGCGAGCATGTCTGTGTTTGTCTGCCAGGACTGTCACAGCCCTGTGTGGCTTACGTCCTGGAAGCTGACGTCTCAGGTCAAGGTGTCACAGGCGTATTCATTGCTTTTCCCATGACTGTGTCCACATCTCTGGCAGAAGCAAGTGATGGGAGGCGACGTTTTTGACTCACAATATAAGGGACAATCTAGTTTGTTTGAGTGGAGAAAG